CTGTGGGCATTCCCCCCAGAGTCTGGACTTGCCTGCCTCCACAATCCTGTGAGCTGGTTCCTTAAAATAAGGGTTTCTCTCTCTGTCTCTCTGTCTCTCCCTTTCCACACACACATCACACCTGATTAGTTCTGTTTCTCTGGAGAACCCTGATACACTCCTTCTATCCAGTTTACTTCCTCTCTCTTCCACTGTGTCCAATCTGCTGTTAAGCCCATCCTCTGACATTTATTTATTTACTAGAGGCCGGGTGCACAGGATTCGTGCACTGGTGGGGGGCGTGGCCTGTGGGGATTGGCCCACTGCAGGAGCAGCTGCTCGTTATGGGTTCAATCAGCAAGACAGACCACCGACTCGGCCTTTATTAAGCTGGCCAGTGACTACAGCACGTCCCTCCTCACAGGCGGCCTCGTACTGCAGTGGTGACCAAGGGTATAGCAAAGCTTTTATTTGCAACAACTACAAAGCATTTCATTAGCTGTTCCTAGTACTGGCAGGGTAAAAAGTTCACAAAAAATTCACAAGTACAAATGGGAGGAAAATGGGGTCACACCTGGCTGGGTTTAATCGTAATACATTGTTTGTCTAAGATAGTAATTTTTCTATGCCATGTTCCCTACCCCTTAGCACATTATGTCCCGGTCCATGTCCACTGGGATGATTTATAAGATCAAAATAACTTTCTATTGTTAAGCCAAACAGCAGGGTTAAAGTGAAACTACAGTTTCCACCTGAGATGACTGCTACTGTACTTCACTGCTCACCCGGTCAGCTGAGCGGCGCTCCTACTGTGGGAGCGCACTGACCACCAGGGGGCAGCTCCTGCATTGAGCGACCCTTTGGTTGACCGGTCGTTCTGGTCGTTCCGCCGTTCAGTCGCTGGGCTTTAATATATAGGATTATTTTTCATCCTCACCCAAGGATACTTTTCCATTGATTTTTAGGGAGAGTGGAAGAGAGGGAAAGACAGAGAAACATCAATGTGAGAGAAACACATCAATTGGTTGCCTCTTGCACGAGCCCTGACCAGGGCCCAGGCCAGGGAGGAGCCTGCAACTGAGGTATGTGCCCTTGACTGGACTCGAACCCGGGACCCTTCAGTCCGCAGGCCAATGACACTCTATCCACTGAGCAACACGGGCCGAGCCCATCCTCTGACGTTTAAGTTTCCCTGGCTGTACTTTGCATTTCCAGAGGTATTTGCCTGCTCTCCCCAAAAGGCATTTTCCCTTCTTGGGGTGCAGCAGGGATCACAGCTCCCGAGCACCCTCTCCCTCCCCAGAGTGAACTATGTTCTCCCTCCTGCTGTCCCTGCGTTTCTCCCGGAGCAGCCCTGCCCCACCTGTGGACCCTGACCTGTGCCATGTGCTGGCCGAAGGCATGAGGGCGGAAGCGCTTGCCCCACACCCGGCAGAAGCTTCGGGACCGCGGGAGGGTGGCACTTCCTTCCCCTTCGGCACCTCCTTCAGCCCCGGCCTGAGAACGAAGTCCCTGAGGTTGGGACAGAGCCACAGCGGCCCCCGGCCCCACAATGAGGAAGAAACAAGCCTGTTTGTGTGTTTCTATCAGGGTTGTTTCTGTTCTTGCTCACGATGCTTCCTGTTTGGGTCCTGCCTGTCCGACAGCCAGCCCTGAAGTGTTCTGTTTTCTGTTAATCCTCCCCCAAGGGTATTTCCCCATGATATTCAGAGATTTAGAGAGAGCAGAAGGGAAGTGGGGGGGGGGGAGGAGAGAGAGAGAAACATTGATGTGAGAGAGACATTGATTGGTTGCCTCCCCCACGCACCCTGACTGGGGCCAGGGGTCGAACCTGCAACCCAGGTCCGTGCCCTTGACCAGAAATCGAACCCGTGACCCTTTGGTGCATGGCTGACACTCTAACCACTGAGCCACCAGCCAGAGCATAGCCCTGAAGTGTTTTTTTGTTTTTTTTTAAATTAATCCTCACCTGAAGATATTCCTCCATTGACTTTTAGAGATGGTGGAAGGGACAGGGAGAGACAGAGGGAGAGAGACATCGATTGGTTGCTTCCCGAATGTGCCCCCATTGGCTGGGAATGGAACCCGCAACTCAAGTATGTGCCCTTGACCTGGAATAGAACCTGCGGCCCTTTGGGGTGTGTGTGTGTGGGGGAGGCACACTCCAACCACTGAGCAACATGGACCAGGTGGCAGGTTTGATCCTCAAAGCAGCGGTCAAGACATAAACAGAGACAATAGCTAAGAGCTGGAACAGCCCAAGTGCCCGTCCGTGGACGAGTGGATGGAAAAGCGGAGGGACAGGCACAGCCTGGAACACTGTGCAGCTGTGAAAAGAGGGCTCTTACCCTTTGGGGCAGCACGGACGGACCTGGAGAGCATGATGCTCAGTGGAATAGCCACACTGAGAAAGACACAGGTCACATGATCTCACTCATCTGTGGCATCTGATGAACAGAGTGAACTGACCAACAAAGTAAGACCCGCAGCCGGGAGGCAGGGAGCAGACTGACACACCTCCATGTGGGGTTGGGGGCGAGAAGAGAGAAACGGACGACCTTATATATGTATAGGCACAGCCCATGGACACGGGCCACAGGGGGTGAAGACCTGGGGGTGGGGATGGTGGGAGGGGACTGGGAGGAAGGAGGTAAAGTGGGGAAATGGAAGACATCTGTAACACTATCAACAATAAAAAATATTAAAAAAAGAGACATAAACAGAGTTGTTAGGAGGACAGAGAATTTGTGGGAGGACTTGTTTTCACAACTAAACAAATATCCGTCAGAGCAGGGGGAGGTGTGAACAGAAGGAGGTGTGAGCAGGGGGAGGTGTGCGCAGGGGAGGTGTGAGCAGGGGGAGGTATGAGTGGGGGGAGGTGTGAGCAGGGCAAGGTGTGAGCAGGGCAAGGTGTGAGCAGGGGGAGGTGTGAGCGGGGCAAGGTGTGAGCAGGAGAGGTGTGAGCGGGGGAGAGGTGTGAGCAGAGGTAGGTGTGCGCGGGGGAGGTGTGAGCAGGGGAAGGTGTGAGCAGGGGGAGGTGTGCGCGGGGGAGGTATGTGCTGGAGAGGTGTGTGCAGGGGGAGGTGTGAACAGGGGGAGGTGTGTGCAGGGGCGAGGTGTGAACAGGGGGAGGTGTAAGCAGGGGCGAGGTGTGAGCAGGGGGGAGGGGTGCACAGGGGGGAGGTGTGCGCTGGGGGAGGTGTGCGCAGGGGGAGGTGTGAGCAGGGGGAGGTGTGTGCAGCGGAGGTGTGAGCGGGGAGAGGTGTGAGCAGAGGGGAGGTGTGCGCTGGGGGAGGTGTACGCAGGGGGAGGTGTGTGCAGCGGAGGTGTGAGCGGGGCGAGGTGTACGCAGGGGGAGGTGTGTGCTGGGGGAGGTGTACGCAGGGGGAGGTGTGTGCAGCGGAGGTGTGAGCGGGGCGAGGTGTGAGCAGAGGGGAGGTGTGCGCAGGGGGAGGTGTGAGCAGGGGCGAGGTGTGAGCAGGGGGAGGTGTGCGCGGGGGAGGTATGTGCTGGAGAGGTGTGTGCAGGGGGAGGTGTGAACAGGGGGAGGTGTGTGCAGGGGCGAGGTGTGAACAGGGGGAGGTGTGCGCAGGGGCGAGGTGTGAGCAGGGGGGAGGTGTGCACAGGGGGGAGGTGTGCGCTGGGGGAGGTGTACGCAGGGGGAGGTGTGAGCAGGGGGAGGTGTGTGCAGCGGAGGTGTGCGCTGGGGGAGGTGTACGCAGGGGGAGGTGTGTGCTGGGGAGGTGTGTGCAGGGGGAGGTATGAACAGGGTGAGGTGTGGCCCCAGCCTCCAGCTCGTCCTGCTCCCCAGGACTCCCACCTGCGAAGGAGGCTGCTCTGTCCACTCCTCCCTGGGAACCCACAGAGTGTGTCTCTCTCTAAAGATGTTTTTATTGCTGTCAGAGAGGAAGGGCGAGGGCGAGGGCTTCACGCAAGGAGGACGCTCCTCAGACGGAGGGAGGGTTCAGGCAGATCAGCAGGAAGGATGCGGAGGGACCAGGGCAGGGGAGGTTGCTGAGGGGCAGCTCCTTTCTTCTCTCCTGAGCCGATGCGTCCCCAGGCCTCCCGTTACCCCTGGGGGAGGAGCCTGCGGGAGGTAGACAAGCAGTTTCTCCCTCATGGGAGACAAGCCCCAGCTAGAGTGAGGGCCCTGAGAACTGAAAGCATGGTCACTCCCTCACAATCCGCTGTGGAAAATAATGTTAAAATTTTGCACCGTAAAATGACACAAGGAAAGCGCACGGACATCTGGTCTCCACCCAGGCATGTCGTTAAAAATGCCGTTATTTCAGGTTGTGTTTTTCCTCTTTGGGGGCCTTTGAATCTGCTTTGCTGGGCGATGTGGCACAGGGAAGCGGGGTGTGTGGCAGAGCTGTTTGTGGAGTTCAGGTCACACCCACGAGAGTATGTTTCAGGTAAGAACAGCTTTGTGGAATGCCTACTGTGTGCGGGAGCAAAAGCACCTACTGTGCGCGGGCAGTGGGAGGGCCTCCTGTGTATGGGCAGCGGGAGGGCCTCCTGTGCGTGGGCAGCGGGAGGGCCTCCTGTGTGCGGGCAGTGGGAGGGCCTCCTGTGTGCGGGCAGCAGGAATGCCTACTGTGTGTGGGGAGCGGGAGCACCTACTGTGTGCGGGCAGCGGGGAGGCATCTTTAACAAGTGCACTGAGCCCAAGGCCTTTGCCTCCCTCGTCCAGGTGGGGAAACGGCTCCCAGTAGACAGCAGGCAGGACTACCAAATACCCGCTGAGTGAATGGACATAAAAAATGACAGCAAGCCCTGGCCAGTGTGGCTCAGTGGATAGAGCATCGACCTGTGGACTGAAGGGTCCCAGGTTTGACCCCGGACAAGGGCATGTACCTCGGTTGCAGTCTCGATCCCTGGGCCTGGTCAGGGCGCAAGCAGGAGGCAACCAATGGATGCATCTCTCACATTGATGTTATCTCTGTATCTCTCTGCCTCCCTTCCATTCTCTCTAAAAATCAATGGCAGAAAACAAACAAACAAATAAACAAACAAAGAGATAAGATCAAAATCAATGGGAAAATGATGAGGAATAACCAAAATAATAATAATAATAATAATAGTAACAAAGAAGGCCCGCAAGAGCCTCATGCAGGTGACAGCTCTGCGGTGTGGCTTCGTGAGCACGTGGGGACCAGAGAGAACTTTATTGGAGCGCCGGCCCCACGCAGAACAGGAGGAACAGGACCCCGAGGAGGCACCCCGAGTCCGCGCTGTCCAGAACCGTTTCCCGATGGCCTGTGGGCGGTCGGTCGGTCGGTCGGATCTTACAGGATCCGCTCTTATCCCTCAGGCCAGTGCTTTTCTTTCTCACAACTGAGGCGTGTTCCTATGTCAGTGAGCAGAGAGGCTGAGCAGCACGGCCCCTGTGGCGACTGCTTACTCACCGGGGCCTCTGTGAGCAGCCGGGCCCCCTGCGAGGAGTCCTCGGGCCGAGTGGCCATTGGCAGGTAAACCCAGGCTTGGGTTCGAGGCTCCGGACCTGGCCCAGCGTCTGAGTCCCGGGCTGGGGTCCCGGCCTCGTTGCTGGTCGCCCTCAGAGGCAGCGCTGAGAAGTGGGGTGTACCCCTCCCCAGGGACTAGCTGGAGGGCCGGCCCTGCCCCGACGAGGTCCCGAGGCCGCCGCTGTCCCCTGGGGGCTGCTGGCTGCTTTCCGAGACTTCGACTTCGGTGACGACACTCAGTTTGTCGAAAACCTCGTTCTGGTCCGAGGGCGGGAAGGAGAGGAGCAGGAGCCGGGTGTGCTGGGGGCGGCTCAGGAACTGCGGGGAGAGGAGGAGAGAGCGAGTGACCGGAGGCCCACTGGTCTGGGCTCAGAGCTCGCGGCTTTATGTTTATTTGTTCAGTTAATCCTCACCCGAGGATATTTTCCCATTGATTTTAGGGAGGGTGGGAGAGAGAGGGAGAGACAGAGAGAAACACTGATGTGAGAGAAACACATCGATGGGTTGCCTCCTGCACGCGCCCCGACGAGGGCCTGGGCCGGGGAGGAGCCTGCCACCGAGGTACCTGCCCTTGACCAGGATCGAACCCGGGACCCTTCAGTCTGCAGGCCGACGCTCTATCCACTGAGCCAGACTGGCTAGGCCTGGAAAACGTGGTTTTAAAAAATATGACAAGAACAGTATGAGAGTTCCTCACAAAATTAGTGACCATGTGACCCCACAATCCTTCCCGGGCAGGGTCTCGAAGAGGTACCTGCACCCCAAGACCACAGCAACATTCGCGGCCACAGCCAAGAGATGAAAACAACCCAGGTGCCCACTGGCAGCTGAACGGATACACAACATGTGGTCCATCCACACAAGGGACATTATTCAGCCCTGGAAGGGAAGGAAGCTCTGCCGCCCGGTGTGGCTCAGTGGTCGAGTGTCGAGCTATATCGCAGTTCGATCCTCAGTCAGGGCACAGGCCTGGGTTGCAGGCTCGATCCCCAGTAGGGGGCGTGCAGGAGGCAGCTGATCAGTGATTCTCTCTCATCGTTGATGTTTCTCTCTCTCTTTCCCTCTCCCTTCCTCTCTGAAGTCAATAAAAATATATTAAAAAGAGAAATGACAAATCGGCACCTCGTTTTCCGAGGGACCGCCTGCAGGTGCCTGGGAGGGGGTTTGGCGCTGGTCACACTGCCGCTGCCCTGACACAGCCCATGCGCCATCTCCTCCAGGAAGCAGGGCTGTGCGGGCATCGAGGAGGCGGAGTGGAGGGGGCGCGGGGGGAGGGAGGGGGGTGTCCTCAGGCTGAGCCAGGGCCTTGGGTGCTCACAGCATCCTGTGTCCCTGGAGCCGGCCCTCAGTCCCCCTGTCCACCTGGGGAGCCATGAGCCCACCTGAAACGCAGCTGGTCCCCATCAGCAGGTGCGCTAAGCGCGAAGCACATGCCAGGCTCCCGAGGCCGGGGTGGGAAAGGAGGTGTTTCAGTCATTGCCTAAACCCTTGCTCCCTGTCGAGGCCTTTCGGCTATGCTGGGTCCCATACAACAGCTTACAACTAGTGTTGCCTGCCCCTTTCACTTTGGAAACGGTGGCTCCTGGCAAGTTAAAGCCCGCATGGCCTGCGCTGTGTGTCCACCCTGCATGTTATGGACACGGACTCCTCACGGCAGCCGGGGCGCGTCGGGCCGGGGCCACTGTCCAGTCATCCTGGGTCCAGCTCTTTGGTTCCTGAACTGCCTGCTGACTTCGCGGCTGCATTTCTATCCCCGGAGTCCACCGCGCTCTTCATCTCCAGGGGGAGACGGAGGAGCCTTCTTTAGAGCTCTGTGTGCCCACCGTCCCCAGACTGTTACTGGTCCCCCCTAGGCCAGCAGTGGGCCCCTCCCGGACGCGTCGCTGCGCAGGTCGCTGCTAAGGAGGAGGATGGGGGCTGAGTTTGGCTCCAGTTGGCCTCCCTCCTGAAGGTGACACCTCATGGCTGTGCGTCATGGTGAGGCCTGTGTCTGCTCTGTACCTGGGCTCTTTCCAGCCTTCCACCCATTACTTCCCACCGAGTTGAAGTTTGATTCTGTACCTAGAGGCCCGGTGCATGAAATTCGTGCACAGGAGTGGGGTGGGGGTGTCCCTCAGCCTGGACTGCGCCCTCTCGCAATCCGGGACCCCTTGGGTAGGGTCCCTAGGCCTGGCCAGTGATCAGGGCCTACCAGGGCTTTCCTTCCCTAGCCTGCCGCTGCCACTGTTTGCCATCTGTGCAGTGATGTCTGCCCCCCTCCCCGACCCCCAGCCACCAGTTGCCTCCCTCTGCAGGTGACAGGTGTGGGGTGTAACTGCTTGGCTGGCCTGGGCCTCCCTGTGTGGGGCAATCAATTGCGGGGCCCCCAGATCCATCACCCTGCACAGAGAGGCCCCGCCCACCTGCCGCAGCACCTCCAGCCAGTGGCCTGGGCCTCCCTCTGCAGGGCAATCGATCGTGGGGCTCCGTGATCAATGGCTCCGCAGAGGGAGGCCCTGAGATCGATCGTCCAGCAGGGGAGGCCCAGGCTACCCGACCAGGATTCCGCGATCGATTGCTGTGCCGGCTGGTGGCCTGGGCCTCCCTCTGTGGGGCGATCGTGGAGTGATGGCGGGGCCCCCCCTGACCAATCGCATTGCACCCGCCTTGGCCGGCCTGGCCCAGTGTTTGTCATAGCATGGTCGTCCGGAAGGTCGTCCTGACGGTTGCTCTGCTGTTTGGTCGTTCAGTCAGTTTGCATATTATGCTTTTATTATTATAGATAGTTGACCTGTTGTAGTAACATAATGTGACCTCATTCGGCCCTGACATGACTGATCTCAGCTGCCGGCTGCACTGCCCACTGGGGTGGCCCCAGGATCTGCCTGGGGGAGGGCGAGGGAAGCATGTCGGATCTCTGGTGCGTCAAGGAGGAGGCTGGGGGAAAGGGGACCCTCCCCCATCCTCAGACCCCGGGGATGCAGAGAATGGACTAGACGCTGCGTCGATTCTCCAGGAAGAGGGGCAGAGGCGAGAGCAGGGGAGATGTGCTCGGGCTCAGGAGCGCACCCACCAGGCGGCTCTGCTGGCTGGACCCGGAGCCGGTAGTGGTGCAGTGCATCCCAGCTGCATGCAGCTCACAGCACAACTCCCCACCCCAGCAACTCTCCCAGCCCTGCAGCATTTGCTGGGGGAGAGGGGGGGCGTGGGGGGGGGCACAACCCTCTGCATTGCAGTCAGGGGAGAGCGCCTGGGAGGAGCCTGATCTGCTCCCAGCTCCTGGGCTCCCGACCCCCGCGGGCCCTTGTCCAGCAGCCTCCCCCCTCCCCACCCTGTTTCTCAGCTGCTACAGGGCTGGTGCCTGGTCACGTCTGCACAGCTGTCCAGCCCTGGAGGCGGCGGGGGGGGGGGTTTCCACTTTGATTGTCACAGAGCCCCCACCCTTCCTTTCCTGCCCAAGGGACTCTTTGATGGCGAAGCCCAGAGCAAAAATAGCACAATAGTGCGGCTTCCTCTCGTTCTCCATTTACAAGGCACCTTCTACCCAGAGGAAGGTGTTTTTCCTGCTGCAAATGCGGTTCCACCTTTCGCCTCTAGAAGATTCTTTTTTAAAAAAAATTACTCTGTTTAATTATTTTATTGCTTTTTAGAGAGAGAGGAAGGGAGAAGGAGAGAGAGAGATCGATGATAAAAGAGAATCATTGATCGGCTGCCTCCTGCACGCCCCACACTGGGGATGGGGCCCGCAATCGAACTGTGACCTCCTGGTTCACAGGTCAATGCTCAACCTCTGAGCCACAGGGTCTGGCTAGCTTTGGAGTTTTGAGTGGTTATTTTTTAAGTGGTTATATAAATATCTACATAAAATCTCGGTTTTGCCTCTTGACCTGCAAAGCCTAAAATATTTGCTTTCTGGCCCTTTAAAAGCATCTGCTGACCTCTGGTGGACAGGGTTCCCGCAGGAGACACAGCAGAAGCCCGTGGGACCCCAAGTCAGGGCTGCCCCTCCTCACCCCGGGCCCCTCTGACCAAGAAACCAGCCGGCAAGGAACGGAGTCGCCACCCTGGTCGCCAGGGGCAGGAAAGGCTGCGTCCATGGGTGGCACTCGGGTCACTGGGCATCTCCTGGTGGTGCCCGCCCAGTTCTGAAGGCGGAGGTTACAGGACGCAGCCACGGCCGGGAGGATGGTCGGAGGTGCAGCCCTACCTCCTTCGGGACGGGGCGGGGGCGGGGGGCACTCACCCCCGGGTGCCCAGAGCCTGCTGGCTGCTGACACAGGTCCCCTTGCCGGTAGCCCCTCCTGGGCGTAGCCACCCCCACCCCTGGGGGATGTGGGGCTCACAGGCCCTCTGCCCTCAGCATAGGGCACCTCCAAGGAGCCGTCCCAGCTCCAGGGCCTCTGGACCGGCTGAAGCCGCAGCTATGACTGCATCCCAGCTCTGTGCCCCCACATCCTGCTGCCCTGCACCCCTAGAGGCACTATTCCCTGCTTTCTTCTCTCTCTCTTTTTTTTTTTTAGAGAGGAAGAGAGAAAGAGAAATCAATGATGAGAATCATTGATCGGCTGCCTTCTGCACGCCCCCTACTGGGGATCGAGCCTGCAACCCAGGCCTGTGCCCTTGACCAGAATCAAACTGGGACCTTTCAGTCCGTAGGCCGCACTCTATCCACTGAGCCACACCAGCTAGGGCAGGCCTGCTTCATTCTAAGTGTCTGCACATGCCCCGTGTCGCTACGGCTGAGTCCTCCCGGCTCCATCCAGACACAGCCTCCTCCCTAAGCCCCTGGGACAGCCCCGAGTCCAGGATACACGCCCCCCATTCCAGTCACTCAGCCAGCCCGCCCCCAGCGGGTTGCTGGCCGGGAGCCTAGGGTTTCCCTTTCTTCCTCCCGGTTCCACTCTGAGCACCGCCTTCCTGTCCCAGAGCCAGCGGCACCGTGGCTCCCTGACAACCTGGGGCTCAGGCAGGGCAGGTCGGAAAGGGCACGACCTCCAGGTGGGGGGACAGCTTCTGGGACGACCTCTGCCCCTCCCTTCGGGCCGTGCTGAGCACAGGCGCCAGGCGGGACCAGCAGGCGCCCCGCAGGCCTGACCGGCTCAGGAGGAAGCTCCTGCACCCGGCACCCCCGCCCCCCACCGCCTACCTCCTTCAGGTGCTGCGGGAGCGCGTTGCCCGGGGAGAACGTGTACTTGGTGCCCTTGTAGATGCTCCACAGCAGCCCGAAGCAGCCGGCGAGCAGCAGGCAGGCCGCCAACACCGAGGCCACCAGGACCATGGCCACCACGATCCAGGAGGGGGCGCTGTCTGCAGGGAGACAGCAAGGGTTACATTCTGTC